GACCTCGAAGAGGAAGTCTCCTCCCTTCTCTGTGGTCACAGCATCTGCTCTCTGGATGAGGGCAAGCCTCCAAGTGGGAGGATGGAATCTCAGCAGATGCTCTCCAAGAGTTGGAAGGAAATGAGTTAGTAGCAGGTTAGACATCAGGAAAGACTTCCAGCAGGGTGGGGTGGCAAGCCATGGAATGCCTAAAGAGGGATGGCTGTGGGATGTCCCATTTTGATTGTCCCTGAAGATGGAGATGCTTCCCAACCTCCCGCCATGTTTGACTTGAGGTTCAGAGTCAGGGGTGGAGCAGATGGCCTCACCGTGGCTGATGTGTCCCTCTGGTCTTGGGGCTGCCCTTCCAGCTGACATCCTCACAGCTCTCACTCAGATCTTGGAGTCCTGGGACTCTCATCTTGTCCTGGTCCTAGGGGCCCACCACTGTCCTCCTGCCTCCCCCAGCTCTGGTAGCAGAGTGCTCCCCTTACAAAGGCCAGGGTGGAAAGCTTATGCCAGAGAAGACATGGGACATGGCCCATTCTGGCTGCTCCTGGCTTTCCACCATTGCCAGCCAATCAACTTCGTCTTGGTTCAACTCACTACTCTGGTCCAACTTCACAAAATGCACCCCTATTTTTCTTCTGACCCCATAACGCTCTCAGCCTTCTCTCCTCCAACCCTGGCTCCTTGGTTCCTGCCCTTCATGATGGAGCAACAGGGACAGTATCATAGGGTCACATTGAGATGGAGATAGCTTGAGCACTTGACTGGGATATGGAAGATTGTGTCAGAGTTCCTTAGTTTGGGGTAAGAATGTGGGTCAGGCCTACTGGTTGGTCCCTCTGAGCTCCAGCTCCTGTTCCTGACCTCGTTGCTCACTATAGTCAAATGACATAATGGATGTAGAACTTTGCATATAGTGAGCTCTGAAGAGAGGAAGGAAATTCCTTTGGGCACTTGTGATACTGTTGGTCAAGACTCCTAGCAGGCCTAGTTAGATCCAAGCCCTGTCACTTCCCTGGTATGAGCTGAACCTCCCTGTACCTCAGGTTCAGTATCTGTAAAGTGGGGCTAATAATAGCAACTGCAAAGGGCTGTTATGAGGTTGAAATGGGATCAAGTAAAGTACCCAGTGGGCTGTTATCCTTATAGTTTGACCCACATTTGTAGACATTCTTCCATGTATTACTCCATTTATCTGGATTAGGAGGTAAGATTGGTCCCATTTTACCTGTGTGGAAACAGGATCCACATTGGGAATGGATGCAGTCATATTCACGTAGAACTTTCTATTTCAAACCTGATATTCTTAAACCACAGCCACCATCCCACCCCTTACTGGGTGACTGGTGCTTTGTGAATATCACCCATGACAACAATGCTGTGAAGCAGGGTGATTAGCTGGATAAGGAAGCTGAGATGTAACAAGTGGAGGTGACGTCACTCACCCAGTGTCACACATACAGAGTCCACTGGAGTCCCTCTAACCCTGACTGCTGGAGCTGCAGGTTACTAGGCTCCCCCCAGTCCTGGCAGTCTACAAGGTCCCAAGCACAGTGCACCTCAGGAAGTATCCACAAGGCCAAGATTCCTTAGGAATCCCCAGGGCCCCTCCCCTAGGCTCTCAATGCTGTCACCATCTCTGCAAGGCCCCAGTTTCCAGTTCTCTGACCATATCCTGAATGCAGGATGAGCACTTTCAACACATGTTTTAAAGGGCAGATGCCAGGGTCTCTCTTGACCCAAAAGGGGCAGAGACCTCAGATGGAGTCCTGTCTGTGTGGTTCTACTAGCCCAGCTCTGAGCCTTGGTTTCCCCATCTGTAACATGGGCTTCTAGAACCGCCAACCTCTCAGTGTGAGGGGAGGGCTTCAAGAGGCCATAGACATTAACATTTGTTACAAACTCTAAAGTGCCACATACAAGTGAGAGATTCATGTTTTATTCTGTGGAGTGACAGGGAGTCCCTTTGAGGTTAAAGAGGAACTGCAGTGTGAACTTACAAAGACAGAGACCATGTAGGTCAGTGGAGATACAAGAACGCTAAGGTCCCTGGCAGGTACCAAGACTTCGGCCATCATTGCTAGGAAGCTCAAAGCCTTACATGGCAGAGCTTTGTCCCTCTAACTAATGGACATTACTCTAGTTTTTGTCCAACTCTCTTCTCTCCCCAAGATGAGCTCATCCTATGGTTGCCGCTCTGGGTGTCATGGCAAGGAGGGAAGGAGCAGCCATTTCCTGCATAACGTCTGTGTGCCGGGTGCTGGCGACTGCTCTCTTAAGGAGGAATCTTGTATTATAGATGAAGAAACAGACTTAGGAAGCTGAATGGCCCAAGGTCGCACCGCTACCAGATGCTAAGACCCAGGACTGCCCGACTCCAAAGTCAACCTGTCATCTGACACTTTGTCTCCTTCCACCTCTCCTTGCCCCAAACCTCAGTCCTGTTCCACTCACAGCTGCCTGAGGACAGCCTGTTTTTCTTTTATGGAAATCCTGTCAATAGACAACAGCCGTGAATGTTAACCCTGGTTCTGGGTCACTTGTGTCTGTGGCATAAGCAGCTGCCTTCAGGGTCCTAAACACACTCAAATGTGCCCCTGCTCAGCTGGCCAGAGCATCAGCACCCCTGCGCAATTATCCACATCCACTAGTAGGAAATTCTCTAAGAAAGCCGCTCTCGTCTCTCCCTCTGGCAAGCTGAGTATGACCGGGAGCTCAAGATTTCTCCTTGAATTCATCCCTCAGCCCCACAAAACATGAGGACACCCCCCCCAAATTATCCCTGACTCCCAGAAGAGAAAATTTAAAAAGCAAAACCCAACAGTTATACTTGGTAGGGATGATGGTGCTGACTTGGCCAGATGTTCTAATGAAAAGAACTTTGAGTTGGCCCCTTAGTAGGAATGTTCAACACGTTTAAGCACCATGGTCCGTGAAGGGAGGAAACAGAGGTGCAAAGGGTCCAGAGCCTTCTTCTGTCTCCTTGGAAGCCTGCACTACTGGTTGTCTGCGCAAGGAGGCCATCCTCATCATCCCTCTTAGGCGGCCAATCAGTTAGCAGCAGACATTAGAATGAGGGTTAGATGTGGTCTTTGCACTGGGTCAGTCCCTGCTTTGGAGTCCCAGGAGATGCCCAAAGAGGCGGAGAGTGTTAGAGCAGGGGTCTGAGAGACTGGTATGAGGTGAAAGAGGGAGGCTGGGTCTATGGCAGCAAGCTGAGGGTGCTCAGGTACTTCCTGTGACCCTTGCTGCCCACTGGATGCCTGACCCAGACCTAGAGCGCCCCCTAGGCCAACTTCTCCAGAAAGAGCAGCAAGGGCTTTCTCTGGCTGCCTTCTCTACACAGCCTTCCTTGGGGTGTCCCAGAGCCCCACTTTCTGGGTTAAAATCCCACCTCTGTTACTTTCTAGCTCTGAAAATTGATCAAGTTGCCTCATCTCTATTCCTCTGTTTCCCCCTGTGCAAAATGGGGACAATAATAGTCCTCACCTCATGGGTTTTTTTTTTTTTTTTGAGCTTTTAAAAACTGTACATATTAGTACATATTTGTGGTACATAGTAGCCACCTTCAGTGTAGGGATTGCCACCCTGCCTGCCCCACAACTACAGAGTTTACCTTCCTTTCTTTCTTTTTCTTTTTGTTTGGGTTGTTTGCTTGTTTTAATTAAGTTTATTGGTACATTTTAGGTATACATAATGATCACATTCATCATAGGGAATTTGTACCTTTACATTACATATATGATATATTTTATATATCATGCTCTATTTATACATACATGATATATTTTTTCCATTTCCCTACCCTCCCTTCAACCCCTCGCCCCCTCCTTATTTACAAAGGCTTTGTTTCCATGTTTTCCTCCTTTCTCAGCATATTTTTTCTTTTCCCTTCCTTCCTTTCCCCATCCCCCCTCCCTAGTTTCCTTTTCCATTTGAACATTTTCTTCCTATCTCACAATATCTAGTGTATATTTTGGTCCTTATTTACACTTTCAGTTTCTCACACCAGAGAAACAATGTGGTATTCACACATGTATGTCCGATTTATTTCACTTAAGAGTTTGGCCTCAGGGTGCATCCATTTAGCTAGAAATGTCTCAGGCTTATCCTTCTTTATGGCAGAGTAGTACTCCATTGTATGAAAAAACCCCATATCTTCTTTACTCATTCATCAGTTGGTGGGCATTTGGGCCGTTTCCAAGATTTAGCTACTATAAACTGTGCCACTATAAACATGGCTGTGCAAAAAAGGATGAAACAAATAAATATAGCTAAAGCACTTAGAGGTCATGATGCTGTCTTTGCATATAAATTAATACAGTAAATGTGCATTAATAAATCATTCCACTTACGAATGGGCAAGGTTAAGGCCATGTCTGTGAGTGGTAGAGTCACATCCCAGGCCACACACCTTCTCTCCCTGCAGTTTGTCTTCCAGGCCTCCTGATGGACTGGGGGTGTATGTGGACGCACACGTGTGTGCATGCCTACGTGTGTGCATGTGGGCCGGGATTCTATGCCACTGAGAAAGGAGAATACAAGGCAGCGCACGGCTCTTCCTAGGCAGTACATTTCACACCTGAAAAAGCTCCAGATAAGAGCAATATTTTATAATCAATGAACATCCACGAAGGAAAGGAGTAGTGGAATGAATGAGGCACAGGGGTGGTTCCTTCTCCCTCAGGGGACCCTGTTTCCTGGATATGAGGTGTCAGAATGAGTGTGCAGGCCAGCAGCTCCCTCTTTTGACTCTTTCCCTGAGCAGCTACTCCTGAGGTCTGGGTAGATGACTGCTGCCCTCTGCCCTCCTCTGCAGGTCCTGTAGGGATCATGGGGCAAGTAGGCTCTTTGAGCTTTCATTCTATCCTTGGTTATGCTCTTCTTCACACACTTCCTGGTCTGTCCCCACAGTCAACTTTCCCAGATCATTTATCCTAAAGCTTAGTAGGGCCTGCAGCCAGGGGACCTGGCGGGAAGAGCCTGAAGGATGCTCTTCATTCTGTTTGTAGAATGCATCCCCTGCACGGACACCTCCAGCACAGGCCTCACCGGCAAGGACATCTCCAGCCCAGGCCTCCCCTGCAGAGACACCTCCAGCGCAGAACTCAGCAGCAAGGACACTTCCAGCCCAGGACTCACCAGCACGGACACCTCCAGCCCGGGCTTCCTCTACCCAGAAATCCCCCTCCCGGTCATCATCTAACAGGTCTTCATCTGCCAAGTCAGCCTCCATGGCATCCTCCCCAACAAAAGCATATCTTGTCAGAGCAAAACCAGTTGCTGTCCCGATCCGGGCATCTCCTGCCAGGTCAGCAGCAGCCACCAGGACCAGCAGGCAGAGCCTAGGTAAGGGGGCTCTGGACAGAGGCAGGAAAAACAGGGGCAGCAGTCCATGAGCAAGAGGAGATCTCAACTGGCACTCTGCTCCTTGTGCCCTTGGGACAATGATGTGAGGGGATGGCTGGGGTGGCCTTTGAGGGACTTACTGGCAGGTGAGGGTAGAAAGAATCCATTGCAGGAAAAATCCAAGAGAGTAGAAAATTAGAAGCAAAGAAGGGATGGGAGGAAGAAACCAGGACCAATGAAACTGTGGAGGAAAGGGAGCGATTCAGACCAGGCAGGCACCTTCACCCCAAACTTCCAAACTCTGGGTTGCCTGGTTCAGCCACTAGGAAGTCAGGAAAGCCAGTGGGTCTCAGAGCTCCGCCCTTAGGGAAATTCTTTCCATTCCTTCTGGACATTGGACCCCACCTCAAAACACACAGGCCTAGTGCATACCGGACCTCAAAGTTTGGGGCCCGTCCCATTCTTGCTTTCATAAGGGCGGGGGAGGCACTTTGGTAGGGTGAGCTTTGGAATCAGATATACTGCATTTGAGTCCTTGCTCTGCCACTCACCAGCCTTGGGCAAATTATTTCATTTCCATGCACCTCACTTTCTCCATCTATAAATGAGCCTAATAAGAGTCAGCTCACAAGGATGCTATGAGAATGAAGTAAAAGAACACATGCACAGTGTTCTGGCTGGCCCAGAGGAGGCGCTCCACCAAAGGGTTGGTATCAGGCCAAGGCAGAGCCATGTTCTGGGCCACAGAGGTCCTAATGGAGCCTTTTGGGCCAGCCTTGTTTCTTCTCCCTCCTTCACCACATGGGACTCCTCTCCAACTGTCTCACTCTCTCCTGCTCCCAGGTCTCGGCTTGCCCAAGTTCTCCTGGCAGGAGAGCAAGAAGCAACTGCCGCTCATTGGGTGTGTCCTCCTCCTCATCGCCCTCGTGATCTCACTCATCATTCTCTGTGAGTTGAATGGAGGGAGTGAGGGTGGGTTCTGGCCATTGCTGGGTGGAATGGAGCCATACTGCAGGGACAGGGGACCCTACACTTGCTTGGTCACCATGTTCACATAGGGACACTCCTCCAAATAGCCATGGACCATGGAGGAGCCAGGCCTCTTTGAGGTAGCAGAGGTAAGAGTGTGGGATACCACAGGAACCTGGGCTTGGGTCCCTCTGTAGTGCCCACTGTGCTACTTATGTGGGCAAGTGAGTTAGCCCTGCTGAGCTCAGCTTCTGCATCTACATATGGGATTTCATCCATCCATCCATACATACATCCATACATACATACATACATACATACATACATACATCCACCAATCCATCCATCCATTCATCCATGCATG